GCAGAAGGCGGTTCCGAAAGTACCCAGGTCCTAAGCCATGGAGCGCTTTAAAGATGTTAACCAACACCTTGAATCGCACCCAGAAGACCACTGGGATCCAATGCAGCTCGCGCAGGAGAGGAGTTACATGGGAGTGCCCCGCCGCTCCCATAATCACCCATGTGGCAGCATTTTGGACCAGCTGGAGCCTCCGGATGCTCTTCAAGGGAGCCCCATGTAGAGAGCATTGCAGTAGTCCAGTCGGGAAGTGACGAGGGCATGAGTGACCATGCGCAGGGAGTCCCGATCCAGAAAGGGACGCAACTGGCAGATCAGGCGAACCTGGCCACAGCCGTCCTGGCCCCCCTGGCCACGGCCGTCATATGCTCTTCTAAAGACAGCTGCGAGTCCAGGAGGACATCCAAGTTGCAAGCCCTCTCCATGGGGGCCAATGACTCGCCCCCAATAGCCAGCAATGGCACCAGCTGGCTATATCGGGACGCCAGAACCACAGTCACTCAGTCTTGGAGGGGTTGAGTCGGAGTCTGTTTCTCCCCATCCAGACCCGCATGGCCTCCAGGCACCGGGACATCACTTCAAGGGCATCATTGGGGTGGCCTGGGGTGGAGATGTACAGCTGAGTGTCATCAGCATACTGATGGAACTGCACCCCAAAACCACGGATGATCTCACCCAGTGGCTTCCCATAAATGTTGAACAGAAGGGGCAAGAGGACCGACCCCTGCAGCACCCCCCACATAAGGCGCCTCGAGGACGACCTCTGCCCCCCTGCCAACACAGACTGTGACCGGTCAGAGAGAAAGGAGGAGAACCACCGTAATACGGTGCCCCCAGCCGCCAGCCCCTCCAGCCGGCGCAGCATGATACCATGGTCGATGGTATCAAAAGCCACTGAGAGATCTAATAGGACCAGGACAAAGGAACAACCCCTGTCCCGAGTCCTTCAGAGATCATCAACCAATGCGACTAATGCCGTTTCCGTGCTGCACCCAGGCCTGAAACCGGACTGGAACGGGTCTAGATAGACAGTGTCATCCAGGTGCTGGGGAAGTTGTCACGCAACCACACTCTCAATAACCTTCGACACAAAGCGAAGGTTGGAGTCTGGACGGTAATTCGCCAAAACAGCCATATCCAGAGAAGGCTTCTTGAGGAGGGGCCTCACCACCGCCTCTTTCAAGGCGGGAGGCAAGAAACCCTCACTCAACAAAGCATTAATGATCCTCTGGAGCCAGCCTCATGTAACCTCCCGGGAAGCCAGCACCAACCAGGAGGGACACGGGTCCAATAAACATGTGGCTGTGCTAAGCCTCCCCAGAATCCTATCCATGTCCTCGGGAGCCACAGAGTCAAACTCCTCCCAGATAATATTCTCAGGATCTGCCTCCATCATCCTGTCTGGATCCACCCAGTCAGAGTCCAAGCCTTCCCGAATTTGAGCGATTTTGTCATGCAGATACTGCACAAAATCCTCAGCTCAACCCTGCAAGGGGTCTTCCCGCGCTCCCAGATGGAGGAGGGAGCGGGTCACCCTAAACAGGGCGGTTGGGCGGTTATCTGCAGACGCGATAAGAGTGGAAAAATAATTAAATTTTGCCATTTTTATCACCATAGGTAGGTCTTAATATGAGACCTCACCAGTGTCCGATCGAATTCGGAATGGCTGGCCCTCCAACAGCTCTCCAGGCGTCTTTTCTGGCGCTTCATTTCCCTCAGTTCCTCGGAAAACCAAGGAGCCAAGTGAGTGCGATGCTGGGTCAGAGGCCGCAAAGGCATGACATGGTCCAAAGCCCCAGCGGCCGCCCTATCCCAGGCAGCCACCAGGTCTTTCGTCGGGCTGTGAGCCAGAGCCTCGGGGAATGGCCCAAGCTCCATCTGGAACCTGTCAGGATCCATCAGGCGCCTGGGGTGGAACCAGCTTATTGGTTCAGCCTCCCTGCGGCGGGGTGTAGCAGTTAGAAAGTCAAGCCGGAGGAGAGAATGATCTGACCATGACAAGGGCTCAATAACTATATCCCCTATATATAGATCATTCACCCACTGACCAGAGACAAAAAACAAGTCCAAGGTGTGTGCCCCCATGTGAGTAGGGCCATGAACTAACTGGGTCAGGTCCATGGCCGTCATGGAAGCCATGAACTCCCGAGCTGCCTCAGATGTTTCCCCAACGGATGGCAAGTTGAAGTCCCCCATGACCAAGAGCCTGGGGGTATCAACCGCCACCCCGGCAATAACATTGAGCAGTTCGGGCAGGGCCGCCGTCACACGGCAGGGAGCCAGGTACGCAATCAGCAGGCCCATCTGTGTCCTATGACCCCACTTCACAAACAGGGACTCACACCCGGCTATCTGAGGTACAGTGGTCTCCCTCAGAGCAAGTCCTTCCTTTACAAGAACTGCCACCACCCCCCGCCCCTCCGCTGCGACCTCGGTCGATGGAATGTGCGGAAGCCTGGTAGGCACATTTCAACGAGGGGGACCCCCCCCTCTTCACCCAACCAGGTGTCCGTAATCCCCACCAGGTCCACACACCCCTTCTGAACAAGATCACAAATGAGGAGGGCTTTATTTACCACGGACCTGGCATTGCATAACATCAAACGAAGGCCCGGGCCCTGAGGGTCTATGCAACCTGGGGAAGGGGAAGAGCATTGGCGGCCGGAGCGCGCCACTGCTCGAAGACAGCAAGTGCACGCCCCCACCACCAGATAAGACCCCTGCTCCCACCAAATTTGCGCCTCCCACCCACAGTACTGATGGAAAAGCCCTCATCGGTATGAGCTATAGCCCCCTCCTTGACCCCGAGCCCCGCACCTGCCATACCGTGACCCTTCGCCAGACCCAGCCCTCCCGCGGGTTCTCCCCTGAATCCACACAACCCACCCCACTCCCAGAACCCTTTAAAAATCTTATTTAAAAACTTCCCCAGAAAACCCCACAACCCCCTCCTCGCAACATGCCACCTCTCGGGATTCCAAAATCCGTCATCAACTTGTCAGTACCTGCTGAATAGCATCCCTGGGTGATGCCATTCTGCATAGCATTAGTCATGGTCAGAAGAAATTAACCTAATATTAAACTATTCTGTAACAGTCTACAACAGAGGTGTCAAAGTGGCGGCCCACAGACCGGATGCCTCATGCACAGGCCACGCCCACTCCGGCTCCACAAAGGCAAAAAACCCTATCATGATACATCACATGATGCAATCAAGTTTGACACCCGTGGTCTACAATATACTCTACAACAATATATAGATATTGATCAATCCCCTGCCCCAAATTAAGAAGCATTCAGCCCATTCATGCATTAAAAAAATATTAAAAGTTTGACTTTTGATTCTGCTGAACCTACGGCCCACATTTTAAATATTGTAGCTGTAGATTTTTTTCTTTTCTTCAAATTCTTGCAGTATAGTGGTTTAGCAGAAGCAGTGTCCTTGAATCATGGCATGAAAGGCTTCCACTATTGGTTAGCAAGAAGGCTGACAATTACACTGAAGAACAGTGATTCCTGGGCCTGGGAAGTTTGAAATCAATACCCATAACTCTTAACTGTAGCAGATACATTGGGAACTAGGATTTCTCAGGGCAAGGATTCTGGAAATGTATATAATCAACTGCTACCTAACATAAAATATTGCAAATATAAAGCACAGTTTTTCGTGTGAGATTTGCACAGCCTTAGAAGTGTTTCCAATTTAGTCTTAGTGGACAATAAATACTTCTTACTACCTCTGCTGTATCAAATGTCTCAAAAACTGCTATAAAGTATAAGACATCCAAGAGGGAAACTAGCATCTTGTTCACATATTCATCTTGTTCACATATTCCATTAAGATACTAAATGGTTTGTTTCCTTTGGGTTGTTTAAGTGATTTGTTTTCTTTTGGATTAAAGACTGAGTGTTTCTAAGTGATTATTTCTGGTTTAGGCTCAGGTGTGAAACAAAATATTATGATTTGGTTAAAAAGCCATAGTAAAAGCAAACCATTGTTTAATGTGATGTGTAATTCCACTTCTTTGTTTGACTCCAGTAACTTTCTCTCTCTTATTCAATGCAGCATTTTTTTCTTAAGAAGGGAAATTGACATAATAGGAAAAGGACTCAATAAGGAAAGGAGGACATTTGCAGTGCTGATGTGCCTTTGAGTACCCAAACTTTTCCCCAAACTTCAGTTAGAGACAAACAAGAAAAATAATCTCTGCTTGGAAATAAAACAATCGAGCCAATAAATATTTTGATTGGATAGGTTAAGGCATAGGTTTTTCAAACTTGACAACTTTTAAGATATGTGAACTTCAACTTCCAGAATTCCCAAGCCATAATGGGAAAGTGTGAGAGTTGAAGTCCATCTTAAAAGTTGCCCAGTTTGAAAAAAACACTGCACTAAGGTCATTGTCCCACAACTTGAGGCCCACCAGATATGTTGGCATTCAACTCTCTTGGCAGTGTGAGATGCTTTGAGTAGCAGTTTCAACTATCAGATATATATTGATGGTCATGCTCATTTGGTTCTATGAGGAAGTTATTTGGTCAATACAGATTCGGGTTCAAAAGGTTGTTTTTATTATTTACAAATATATACATGCATACGATAATGAACAGGGTGTCCTGTTCATTTTTTTACCCTAACTGTATGACTCAGATGTTGAGAGGAGAGAGAAGTTCATGTGTTGTCTCACTGAGATATAGATGAGAGAGAGAGGGGAAAAAAGGGAAGATATCCAAGTGGTTTCTAGGTAAGAGTCCAATAAGAGAGTTCATTGGCTGATATAGTCACATGTGATGTCTGTAAAGACTTAACCCCTTCTAGTCTCTGGTGCATCATATGCAGGCAATATCTGACATCAACATATCTGGAAGATGCTAAATTGGAGAAAGTTGCAACATGGCTATCCTTTTAGAATAGATTGCCTTCATGTATTATCCTGCATGTTCTTTCTTGAATTATAATAATTATCTTGGCCCTATGGTAATTTTTCTTCTGCTGGATGCAGGGTGAAACCAAGATTCTGAAGTTGAAGAATCTTCGACCTCAGGACTACGCCAATTACAGCTGCATTGCATCAGTCAGGAACGTCTGCAATATTTCTGACAAAATGGTGTCATTCCGTCTTTCCAACAAAACAGGTATTTTGGACTTTTTTCCCTCTTCTGTGTACTGAACCTTTTTGGGAGGAGGGTGATGTAAAATAAAATAAAATAAATGATGGTGGCATATCTCTATTGCATTGCATTTCCATGCTACAGATTGGTTCTTATTCAGCCATTTATATTGCATATACTATAATGGCAATACTATAATAATAGTAATATGTCAGGACTGGGGCCCTGACTGTTAACAACTGTTGAGTCTGACATTTCCTCAGTTGCTGTGTATTTTACGTTTTGCATTTATGATGAAAATTTGTTTTTCATTTACTTTAAGACTGTTCACTGCCCAGAATCACTTATCGAAATGATCATCCTTACAAATTGAATAAGTAAATAAAATACTGTGCACTTTAATAAACTTCTGAAGTGTGTTATTATTGTAAGATATCTTAACTAATATTTTCCCCTGCTACCTTTTCTACTGCTACCTATTCATTCTCTATCTCAGTGTTCCTTAACCTTGGCAACTTTCAGTTGTGTGGACTTCATTTCCCAGAATTATCCAGCTAATATGCTGTATCATTCATTCATCTGTACCTGATTTTTTTCACATTTCCGTTTGGAGGATGGAGCCATCTAATGCCATTACAACTGTCTCTGTATGTGATCAGGGTTAGAGTTAGGTGTCCTTTTCAAACATGATTTTAGGACAGATATTAGGATTGTTTGAAAATGCCTGAGATGGGAAGGGATGGGATGGGATCATAAGGAGATCTAGGATGATGACCAAGAAAGCTGGATTAGAAGTATGAGCCCAGTTCAGTTGAAAGTTGGGGGAATATTGAAGAAGAACATTCTGCAAGATGAATGTGGCATTTCATTCAATGCAACAACAAAGGGGAGTTTCTACAATGTCCTTCTCTGTGGAACATCATTCTTGTGATGTCTTTCCCCTAAGAAGCAACATGTGCTGACATAACTCTGAGCCCTGATGGTGCAGTGGTTAGAATGCAGTATTGCAAGCTAACTCTGCCCACAGTCTGGAGTTCAGTCTTGATGGAGATCGAGGTTGATTCAGCCTTCCATCCTTCTATGGTCGATAAAATGAGAACCCAGATTCTTGGGGGGAATATGGTGACTGCTCAGAGAGTGCTATAAAACATTATGGGTTGGTATATAAGTCTAAATGATAGTGCTATTTTCCCGTTCATGTTTCAGTCTATCCCAAAATTATGGCTTCTCCATTATTGAAGATTTTCAAGAAAATATTGGACAACCTTTTGTCCAGCATGGTATAAGGACTCCTGTTTGGTGCAGGAAGTTGGATTGTAAGAACTTCAAGGTCACTTCAAGGTCACCCTTTGCGGATAACCTTTCCTCCCCCCCCTTTTTTTTGGGGGGGGGGGACAAACTGGTCTGGTAAAGCTGGATATAATAGGATTTATTTGTTACAAGGCAGAAAAATACTGTATCTTCTTGCTTAGTGTTAAGTTTATCATTCCATTTCCCCCTGAAAATTAATCTGTAAAAATTTGACTAAAGAATTGCTTTGTACGGTATGTACCAACTAAAAATGAAATTTAATTACATTTCTCTCAGAGGAAGAATATGTATTCAAGAGGTACCAAACCAGACTGCACTGTTGCTAGTAATAATCACACAATCTTCCTGACTAATGAATAAATTGTAATGTAAATAATTAAATCAAGTCTGCCTGACTAGTGATTTAAATCACCCTGATTTGTTAAGGTAGTTGTTGCTATTTAGTTCAATTTTATTACATGTTCTGTCTTCTTGTGCCCTTAAATTTCTATGTCCGTAAGGAAGTTGATATGAAAATCACTTTTTCTTACTATTTCTATCAAACATCAACATCACCACTAAGCTATTGCTAGCAGCTCTTCAGGATCCCACCAGAAATAAATGTCCAGAAATAAATGTCTGTTGAGATCCTCAGTCATTCAGGTCATGGTTGTCCCAAAGGTGCTTTTTTCAAGAGCCAACAGGACTTTCTGGTTTTTCATTGAAGATGTTTTGCTTCTCATCCAGGAAGCTTCTTCAATCCAGAAATAGAAGTGATACTGTGGTGCATACAATGCAGGGGCGGGTTTCAAAACCTGTTGCTACCAGTTCGCTCGTGGGTGCATGCACATCCGGGCAGGTGGGCAGAGCCTCCTGCCACCACTATCAGTTCGCCAATACATTGTCCCTTGAGATGGCTTTGATTCAGACCACATGGGGTCCTAAATAGCATACCTTAAATAATCTAATTGGTAAATTCATCTCACCTTCCCCAGCTCTTTATTATAATCCAGCCTGAGTTAATTGATACAAAATGTTTTCTTTGGGAAGGATGGGATGTTCAAAACATGAATCACCAGACAAACTTACCAGATGCTCCCTTCTACCAACCCTCCCATCCTCTGTCTTAAAAAGACCCTTTTTTCATTCGATAAAAAGGAATGAATGTTTTGTTAATAAGCAACTATTAGGTTGAATGTTAATCTGGGTTAAATAAAAGCACATTTTGTTTTGGAATGGACTGAACTCCTGACTTGATAAACATGTTGATTTCAAAGTGACAGTACAGGAAATAGTTTCCTATTGGCTTTCAGATCTTTTTTTTTAACCTTCCCAATTTGGTGTATGTACCTTGAAGTTTCGAGTAGTCTTCCATCTTGCTTAACTTGGTGGCTCAGCAGACTAAGTGCTGTTAAGTAACACCAGCTGCCTGCAATTACTGCAAGTTCGAATCTCACCAGGCTCAAGGTTGACTCAGCCTTCCATCCTTTCGAGGTAGGTAAAATGAGGACCCGGATTGTGGGGGCAATAAGCTGACTTTGTATTAAAAAAAAAAAAAAAAGAACACCGCTTGGGGGTGGGGGCAAAAGCTCTACTAAGCAGGTATATACAAAAGTATGAAGGCTATTGCTTAATGCATTGTAAGCCGCCCTGAGTCTCCGGAGAAGGGCAGCATATAAATTGAACCAATAAAAATAAAATAAATAAACTGTTTAAAAACAGAAGTTCATAAATGGCCATCAAGTTATCAGCTGACATAAATGCCGAAAAGGCCCCAAAAACAATTAAAACAATTTTAAAAAGGAAGCTGCCAGGAGAAACTTTTTATGAGTTTCCTACTTTGTGCCTAAAGTGAGATTTGGAAGGTTATCTGGATTTTGCATAGTACAGATTGCACATTGGCTTTGCCAAAAAATTATTCTCTCTGGATTTCTTTATAGTGTCAGAAAAACAAAGGTACTGTATGAAATCTTCCAGCTTGCAAGGCTTCAGTCAGGACCTAAAGCTAGGTTAGCGGGAGAATATATAACACAAAACCTACCCAATTTATCTTTTGGGAACTGATTCCTAGTGAGTACATAATTCAAATACAGGAAGTCAGTCCTCAACTTTCCACAACTGAGCGCAGAATTTATGTTCCTAAGTGAGAAATTTGTTAAGTGATTTTTGCCTCATTTTATTGGTTGTTCAATTAGTAACACGGTTATTAAGTGAATCTGGTTTCCCCATTGGCTTTGCTTGTCAGAAGCTCACAGAAGATAATCACATGACCCCTGGTCACTGCAACCATCATAAATATGAGCCAGTCTGCAAGCATACAAATGTAAATCACGTGACGATGGGGATGCTGCAATGGTCATAAGTGTGAACAATGGTCATAAGTCACTTTTTCCAGTGCTGTAACTTTGTAACTTTGAATAGTCACTAAATGAAATGTTGTAAGTCGAGGACTACCTGTATTCAGCAAAATTACTTAAAGTTTATAGATTTATAAGAAGCCAAATCCAAAGTCTCTTAGGTGGCATAGAATTAAAGCAGCATAAAACAGCATTAGAGGTGAAGGTGCTGGCCTAAAACCCAGGAGACTCTGAATTCTAGTCCCACGCTAGGCATGAAAGCCGCTGGGTGACTATGGGCCAGTCATTCTGTCTCAGCCAGTCTCATTTCATAAGATTATTATTGTGTGGAAAATAGAAGGCAGGATATTTCATATTACAATAAATTTAGTTAGCCACATATTAATTTTTATGGTTTTTTTTACCCCATTTAGTGTTTTTAGATTTTTTTTGATAGAATATTTCTATTGAAGCACCTGGCCTACCCCAATATGGGAGGGAACATACTGCTTCCCTTTCGCCTTTCAGCTCCAATCCAGGAGCCCTCAAGCAGTCGCATTCACAACAAACCATTTTATACCAAATTTATATTTCGCTGATAAAGAAATAAAGGGAGACTAGTATAGATCTATTTCAAGTTATTTAGCTCTCATCGGCTAGCCATACCCTTATGTGTGTGTGTGTGTATGTATGTATATGTTTTTTTTTAAAAAAATTGTGTAGTTTATATTATTTAGTTGTTAAAATTATTAATTATAATTATTAATTGTATTATGCTGGTCCATGACTATAATAAATATTTGATTGATAGGAAACAGAAGTATTAGGCATGTTCATAGCTTTGAGTTGTGTATATATGAAAAGGCAAGATAGCAACACCACCACAAACAATGCAAAACCATATAGCACATTGAGGGGGAAATGTACTTAAATGGCAACTGTCTATTCTACAGTAGTCAGGATCACAAATTACTCTGACTTCTAGCCTTTTTGAAAAGCCAGAGGTTGGATGTTTATGATCCATTGCACCAAATAGCTGGCGTTTATCTTCCTTTTTCAGTTCTTTGATATTTAAAAAGCCCCAGTACTCATTCTACGACAGTGTTTCTCCAATATCAGAATTCTGTGATCAGATGTTATTCCCAAGAAGCACTGAAAAAAACAAAAACCAAGTATGTCAATAAACAGCTGTATACGCTCATTAACACTATACAATTTAAGTGATAAAGTACAGAAAAATGGAAAACTTTCTGGCCACCTTGGATATTGGATAAAGTTTCTCAACCTTAGCAATTTTAAGAAGTGTGAACTTCAACTCTCAGAATTCTCCAGCCAGAATGCTAATTGTTTTTTGTATTATTGGTCAAGCATGCATTTTAAGACAGATACAAGTGTAAA